ACTTACTGTAAAGTAAAGGCCTTTTAAAAAAGGTATAATAGCCTGCTTAAACTACTCCTAATTCTTAAATAAGCTTAAAAAGATATATTAATTAATTTTATTATAGACTTACTTTTATCTAAAAAGTATATAAATATTATAGTAGTTGTTAATTACTTAACTAAGTATTAATACTTAATACTATATTCCTTTATAACTACCCTTAATATAGCCTAGTTATTCTACTAATATGTATAAGTTTACTATAGCCTGCCTAACATAATTATATTAGATAGAGGTACGCAGTTTGTCTTAGCCTTCTAAAATAAACTTTATAAATAGCTCTAAATTATTCTCTATTTATCTATAGCTTTTTACCTAGAGACTAACAGCTAGACTAAGAACATAAACACTATAATAAAATAAGTTTTATAAGTGTACACAAACTACTAGTAAAATAACTAGGTAAAATAGTTAGCTATAGCATAGTTTAAAGCTAATAATATAACATCTAAATTAACATAAGTATTCTTATTTTTAGTAAACTATAAATACTACCTCTAAATAAAATTTAAACTACTTTTAAATACTCTTTAACTAACTTATTAATTTATATAAGTAATAGATGTAAATAGACTTATTAATAAAATCTAAAATATATTTAAATATGTTTATAAAAAGCTTACATAGGCTTAACCTTTTTAATAAGAGTATATAAACTAATTTTAAACTCTTACCTCTGTGTATGCAGCTAGTAAGAAGGTCTAGCTAGACACTAGAAATATTTAAATAAACTAATAATTAAAAAAACTTAATTAGAAAAACCTTAGCTTTTTTACAGTAGCTTATATAGTCTTATTACATGCTTACTAATTAATTCTACCTAACAGCATAAAGATACACTCTATGTTCTATGTATTATTACTGCGCTAAGTAGCCTTTAAATTTAACTATCTACCTAGACAGCTAAACCTACTACTTAAACTTATTATTATAAATAATAAACTAGAATATGTTGTAAAAGACATTAAATAAATTTAGTTTAATAAAAAAAAATGTATCTATAAATACTTTATAAAATAGACTAGATATAACAAACTGTTATAAGAACCTATAAAAGCCTTATAAAAGAACTCTACAGTAACCTAATTCTATGCCTAATACTTATCTAAACTAAACCTATACTCTAATAAAGACAACCTAATGCTAGAACTACTAATGTAAAGGATTCTCTTTTTAATAAGAGGGGGGGTACTGTTACAGTATCCTCTCTAGATCCTAGACATAACTATATTAGATGTGTACTAGAGTATTATTAGTGCATATCTAACATAAATATAACATAATATAAACATAAACTTAAGTATAAACTGCTTTAACACTAACTAAACCTAAAATAGGCTTAATTTATACCTAAAGCACTTAGACTTCTAAGCTAAGTATTTAATTACTAATTTCCTTCTAAACTTTTCTGTTCCTTACACAACGTCTTGTACCTACTATAATACCTTACGTAGTAATTAAACTAGACCTCTGTGAAGCTCTATAACCTTACTCGTGCACAATCGTGACAACTAGAGGCAACCGCTAGTGCTAGTGCTAGCCCTAGGATTATCTGTATATATATTATACTATGTAAGAATACTTAGCTTAAGTATTCTTATGTGTACTTTTTAGTATAACGTACTTCACAGGCGAGTTGCTTACACACCTAAGTTGCTTACTTTTGCTAAGACCCTACTACACTACTTTTTTTACACTAATGCATTCTTAATAACACTACTTAAATATGTTAAAAAACATTAAATGCAGCTTACACTTTAAGCTTTTAAATAAAATATAACACTTTTTAAGTAACATGCTGCAGCTATCTATAAGGTTTTTTAAAAAATAATAAGTAACTAACATACTAAATAACTTTTTTAAGCTAATTATATAGCTAACTTATAAAAGCTAGATAATAATAAAAAGTAAGTAATTATTTAGCACATACTTAAGCTAGATGCATAAGAATTTCCCCTCTAGCTAGTAGCTATAGCTAATATAGCTAATTCTTTACACACTAAGCATAATATAAGCTATATTAGTATAAACTAGCCTAATATGTTTATTAAGTGTTACTTAAAGCTTAAAGTAAAGTTTAAGTATAAGTATAACTATAAAAAAGCTTTTTATAAAAATTTTATAGTAATTTAAAGCTAGTTTAACTTTATAAAAAATATTAATGCTAAGTATAGCATCTAGAATAATAACATATATAACTTTAATAAAATAAAGTTTATAATAGGCTAAATATTTACTAAAGTAGTTATTATAAGTTTAGAGAAATAAGAACAGCTAAAAGCAGTTTAGCTAGGTAACTAGAAGTAGATAACAGCTATCTAAAGTATTAATGCTAAAAAGTAAGCTATTTTACTTTTTATTATTTTTTAGAGTAGTAACTACTTTTTAAACTAGTATAAAAAAAATTTACTTTAAAATTAAGTTATTATAATCTTTAAGTGCAGCTAGACTACTAATTAGCTTAGTCTAGACTAGTTAAAGCACTTTAACATATATATAAAAAAGTGTACTATTAGTAGCTACTGTCTACTAGTTATTAATAGCTATAAGAGCTATAACTTACTTTATTTTTAGTAATACTATAAAAATAATAAGATTATTACTATTTATATACTTTTTTACTTATTACACTTTTTATAGCTACTTAATATAGGTTGTTTTACTTTTTTAAAAAAAGTGTATAAGTGCTAAGCTAAAAACTTTATATATAACTAAATTACTTATATTATAAAAATAAAGTTTTTACTATGCTTTAAAGTAGCTTATAATGCTATAATTACTTTTAGTAATATCTAAGAAAAGTTTTAAAGCGCTAGATTAGTTTCTTTTAACTTATAATAAGTTATAATAAGCCTTAATATAAAGTTACACACTTTATTACTACTACTACTTATATATAATAAGCCTTAGTAGTTGTAAACTTTAAGTAATACTTTAAAACTTAAGTTATAATTAATGCTTATAAAAATAAAAATTTAAAAGTATATAAATAGTTTACTAACTTTTATAGTTAAAGTGTTTAAAAAAGTCTTAAAAAAAGTAGTAATAATTATATATAAGCTAGTATTAGTAGAATAGAAAATTACTAAGCTTTAAGCAGCTAATAAGGCTACTATATAACATAAATTACATAAAAGAAAGTAAATTAAAGCAGAAAAAACTTTAATAATTTAAAAAGGCCTATACTTAATAGCTTTAAAAAAGTTTAAAGCGCGCAGTAATAGAAAAAAGGTAAAGAAGTAAGTGTAAGCTAAAGTAAGTAAGCTATCCTAAAGGCGCTGCAGATAGTGCAATTAGACTAGGCATAACACACAAATGTGTAAGTAAGAAGTAGAAGTAGTATCTAAATAATATTCTAGGCTGTACTATACTATATAGTGCTAGAGCAGGTTGTTATAGGCTATAATAGAGTTTGTTAGGGTGGGGTCTTAGCAAAAATAAGCGACTCGGGTGTGTGAGCAACTCGCCTGTGAAGTACGTTAGTAGAAAAAGTTGTATAGTATTAATTTTACAAGCAGAGCGTCTACTTTATTATATAATACTTAAGATACTTTAAGGTTAAGAGTTTAAGTCTTAGTAATTAGACTAGCTTAAATTATAGTAGAGGCTATAATTAAAGTAGAGTAGATATATCCTTAGCCTTATGTCTTAGAGGCTAAGACTACTAAGGGAGGGGATAGTATAACAAGGTAGGCACAGTTAACTACGTAGCCTTCTCTCGCTTATAGAGGTTTAGGTAGAGTAGAGGCAACCGCTAGTGCTAGTGCTAGCCCTAGGATTATCTGTATATATATTATACTATGTAAGAATACTTAGCTTAAGTATTCTTATGCGTACCTTTTAGTGCAGTAGAGAAAGTTGTAGTTATAGTATTAATTTTATAAGCAGGGCGCCTACCTCATTACAAAGCTAAAAAGTACGTGTAAAAGTAAAAAGTACTATAGTTCTACTACTAGTAAAAGTAACTCTAAGTGTAATTTTTAATACACTTTAAAAAAGTATAAGTGCTAGTAGGCTAAGTAAAAAGCAAAGAATAATACTTAGTAGTAAAAAAAGTAGCATAAGTGTGATAACAAGCTCTGTCTTTACTATTGTGTAGCACAAATAGCTTAATAGGATATGTTGGCTATATTCCATAAGAATACTAAGGTGAGGAGATAGAAGGGTTGGAGGCTGGCGGCCTTAAGTAGCCAGCCGTCGGCCCGGCAGAACCCATCTCCGAGCCGCAGGCAGTGAGCTGAGCTATGTACATAGATCCTAGTATAATGTAACTAACTAGCCACGAATAGTGCAGGGCTGTCACAATAGGAGAGTTTAACTTTAATGTAAAAATATAACATTATAGCTAAACTTTTCTAAATTTAGCTAGCCTAGCCTACTAATAAGCTATTTATATAGCTTTACTTAGCTTTACTACTATTACTACTATTACTACTACTACTAATTACTTAGCATTTTATTACACTTGCAATAGCGCTTTTTACCTATATGCTACGCTTAAGCCCTGTAAGTAGTAAGAAGAATATAAAGGTAATTATATACTATGTTTTATTAGCGCTAAATTATCTGTAGAGCGGCTGACTTCTAAGGGAACCTAACGCAAGGTCACGTGAAATAATGTCACGTGTGATGGTGTGTTGTTGCAGCGAATCAAATTTCACACATTGAAAAATTGATAACATCGGTTTCAGAGGCAACAGCGTGGGAAAGCGAAACGACTTTTAAACATGAGGAATAATTTATCATGTAAAAAGAGACAGAACAGTTTTCATATCTCATTCGCACAGACCGCACACTTGACCTTTGGTACTCCCAAATCTTGCAGCGCTTTAACCATGGTTGTCTGACTTAGTTTCCACGTTTCGATTTTCCTTCTTTCTAATGAGTGGAGGCTGAATTATGGACGCTTCCGCCACTAGAGTCTGTGTTGAACGAACTTAGTGACAGGACACAATAAATGACCGAGAGATATGAAGTATAAACCTCCCCTGAATTCAACCAACAATGGACTATAGTCACGCCCTATACAGAACATCATCTATCACAGAGGGGTTGAATCCGGAGCAACTTCTACCAGCCATCGCAATGAGCCGACGGTCCCTTGCATCCTTCTCCATAGTCACAAGCATTGACCCAGACCGCTGATCTAGGCTTGCTGCAGTAATACAGTGCCCGATTGTCAATAGGAGAGAAGCCTGCAATAGGGTCAGCCGGTTAGAGAAACGTATTAGACAAATCTAGAAATATACAGGAGAGCTTACCCATGCCGCCTAGAAACCATCCGCAATAGAATGCACCTTCAACGCATGGGTCCCCGGCCGCAGTGGATTCGGCTGTCACAACGTTGGCGTTCTTAGGAGCTGGGCTAGCCATAGCCCTAGCGCCCATGAAGATGGTAGTTAAAAGGATGTTGGAGATCTTCATTATGTGGAATTTCCTTCCCAGGCTTCAAGTGTGGGGGTTTTCGTCGTAAAGTGTTAAAAGTCTTTGGTGCAGAATCTTATCGAACCAGCGTTGAAGTGCATTTTATATCTCAATCTCCTTCGGATCCAAGCATCCATCTGAAATGCACTTATGGCCGAGGCCTACTTGGCAGCTTCTTTGATGCACTACAAGTCACCTTGTGCGTTCCAATTCTGGTGACAATATACTTAAACGGCTCAGCTTCTTACAATGGTCTGATATGTGACCAGCGTATTGGGACAAGCTTGACTAAACTATTAAAGATGTCAGGCTATGAGTACGAGTTCATATAGTAGCCTAAGCCGAGTACAAGTGGAAATACCAACCCAAAAGGAGCACATGACCTTAAGATAGATGAAGCCCGCGATCATGTGCAAGAGCTGAATACCAAGTGAAAGGTTAGTGCAGCTTCTGAGTACGATTGGATGTGAGAGGCTTCCTAAAATAAAGCCCTTGGATATGCAAACAAACTCGGGGTCGCTGTTTAGGGGTAGGGGTAGGGGTCGGCGTTGTCAAGCCTATGACATTATATGGTTAAAAAGACAGAGTTGGAATGATGGGTTGATATCTTGGTGCCTTGTTATCCGTAATTTGTCTGGTGGGAGCCATGATGCTAAGCGTCGCGAAGTGGCCTGACATGGAGATATGTCGCATGAGTCTTTCTTGTGCGACCTGAATCTAGAGGGCAAGAGACTACAAAGTCGCACTGCGTTGCGCCTGACTAGTAAGTCAAGCTCTTGCTTCTATCCCACTCTCCAAATTCGAGTCGCATCAAGAGACTATCGAGCGGGGTAATTGTGTGACTAGGGTATCACTGTTGTCCTTGCGCCGTGGCCTATGCCTGCATGTATCGCAAGGTGAGCCTGGATAGAGCCAATGGGTCTTATAGAGGCCATATAAAGAGAGAGGTGAGCAGACAATTAGGTGTTGAGAGACCGCCTAGGTATATTAAGGTGGGGTGTAAGGTCTCTAGAGCTCGAGAGAGCTTGGAGGTAGATATATAGTAGTTAAAAGAGCGCTAGTCCTAAATAAGAAAAGAGTGAGAGGTGAAGGACCTACATTTCCTTTGGTTGGGTTACGTGAACTAGTTTCACGTGTGACAGCATGTCTGCACGAAGGGCTTCCTATCTTTCAAGTTGAATTTTTTAGTTTAGAAAACCTACAAGTACTTTCACACAGGAAATAGAAGGCCTGTGCTCTATACAGTATGCTAGTAGTTGTCTAATAGCATTGCCGCTGTTCTTATATATATAGCTTAATTGTAGGTTAGAGATACCCCTAAAATACTAGCTTCCTCGTAAACTTGAAAGTTAGTGTACTGAGTTACTTCATTAAGCAAATAGAATGCGAAGCTTCGTACTATTGCAGCCACAAACTCTCCACTTTACCTCAGCCTACACAGAATAGGTAAACCTAAGTCGATCTGCCCTTATTACGTATAATCTCAGTGCATCGTTTTACGTGCCGGTCAAAGTTGTCCTTTTTGGTAAACCGTTATTTGGGCTTCTTGTATCCTGCATTAGGGCATCGATACATTCCGGCTCCTGCATTAGTGTTCCGGTAGATGGTACGGTCGTGTCTCCGAAGGTCAGCCCTGAGGTTGAATCTCATCGCGCAAGTGGAGCACGCGAACCTGCGGTCATGTTTTCTACGATTGCGGTTGCTAGACATTCCATTGTTAGTGAAACCCCAATGAAATGTAAGGTAATACTGACTTTAGTTGATCGATGGTAGCAAATGCCAAGTTGCATTGTGTGCATAAGAAAGGCTTCGGCCTGGATATGCTCGGTGAAGGCACATCGAGCAAGACAATTGCATTATCGATTTCGGCACTGGCGTCTGGTTGCGTGACCTCTGTGCTTTCCACCAAAGGATCCATAGGAGCTAGCTCACTACCCAAGATTTCAGAAGAGACAAGTGAGAAATTTGCTGATTCGGCTTAGCTTCCAACATGCTCAGGAGCAATATAGAGCGAGTCCGGCGAGGTGAGGGTGTCACTCTCAAGGGAGCAAACGCTTGAGCAGGAAGTTGACGACAGGCACTTGACGCTCCATGTATCTTCCATGAGTGCCGCCTCGGGACCTGCGGCTCCGGAATCAAGCTCATGTCGATTGTTATCACACGGAGATGTCAAGGCGTCTAGGTTTATGGGGATTTGATAATCCTTTTCTGCCACTGTGCGCCGATACAGTCTATCGGTAAATGATTCAGGTGCCCGTTGGTATTCAGCACTAATCGTATATAAACCGAAGGTCGAGTCTGACAGATCTAGAGAATCACCGGCCAACACAGTGTGGCCTTCGGCTTGAGAAGACTGCCCCTCGAGAAGATCCCAGGATCCCATCGCGAAGACGTCATGGTCGGGGTGGTCTTCGCTTTGAAGGACAATTCGGAGGTAATCAGGGTCTAACTTTCTGTCTTGGTCTAACCCAGGCCAGGTCTAAGGTTCTAGTCCGTCTGCATCTTTGATTTCCGTATGCCAGAGTGACTGTAGCAGATGAGGCAGCGGAGGCAGCGAACCATAGTCTAGTGGAGCGGCACTCGACAGTCTGATGCCACCGGTATCTAATGGGGTTTCATGCGCGTCGAGTACGGGCATCTAGCTTTTCGCCTGCGTCCTGAGGGCCCGGATACACCTTAAAGAGATATCTGATGGCACTAGTGATTCTAGTCTGCAAGGCTGGAGTTTATGAGCGTAGTAGTGTAGAGATGGGAGGACTTTTAGCTGCTTCTCTCCTTCTCGAGAATTACCAGCTTACGCATGTCATCTCCATAGTCAGAAGAGCCTAGGTCCGAATCGAGCTCAGCCTCTCCAGGCCACGTCTTACGTGCGTGACGCTGAAGTGGGCCGTAGAGCCACGGCATGCGCAACGATTGTAACCTTCGTACAGCGGTGATCGGAGCCGTGCTTTTCGGTATTAGGCTTCTTTCCAAAGCCCTCAATCCCAAGTATATCTTTTTCACCTCCTCCATTATTTGTCTCACATTCGTCTGGTCAGTTTCGTTGGTGAACCACCCGGCTGGGAAGTAATCGTTCAAATTCTCTAGAGGATCCCATCGCTCTTTCGGAATATTCGGCAGCGGTGAAGGAGATGGTGTTATCCTTGGTCGAAGTGGCTCAAGCGGCTGGGATCGTGGGCAGAAGTCGTCGTCTGTGTAGTACGTAGTCGGGTCATACTGGGGAAGGTTTCCTGCTTCACCTTTGGGATCCGGATTGGATTCATCATCCGGCTGGGCTGGTGCAATAAACAACGTTCGCGTCAGTTTAAGAACTAATAGTACATTAGCGTGCCCTGTCTCGCGTCTGGGAGACGTGCGGCTACCTCAGGATAGAAAGCTCTCAATTTTATTTCGTTTGCCAATTCCGGACTCTGCATCCGTCCGAGAAAGAGTCTGGTAAGTTTTGCATTCTGTTGTTTCTAGATATGACGGTGCGGTTATTTCCTAGAGCACATCGGCAAAGGGGTGATGAATGAGATCTTTGGGTGATGGAAACACTGCATTGAGTGAAGGATATTGATGGACTATTGAGGAATTTTAGGACTTCATGTGCTTAGCTTAATACTAATATTAAATTAGTTGCTACAGCTCTTAGGAAGTTTTTCCCTTTAAAGGAATTATGTACCTAGGGCTACTAACGCTTTGCTTTCTTGCCCTTGCGCAACTAAATTACTAAAATTATTTTTAGGTTCTATTTTATATAAGTAGCTAAGTATAGTATTTAGATTACTTAGTTTATAAGTGGTACTATGTAGCTTTAAGTTGCGCTTAATTATGTATACTTTTAACTGCAACACGCCTATATAACTAGTAATCAAGTTGTAATGCTAGCTTAGTAGTAAAAAGTAATATAATTTAATTTTTTTAGTATAAACTAAGGGTATAGCCTTTAGTTATAAGCTCTTTAAAAATCTTAGAAGCAACACACTTATGCAGGCATAAGAGGCCTTATAAAGACGCTATAAGCTTAAAATATAAAACTATAAATTTAAAAAACATGTTAGTATACCTCTTTACATATATTTATATAGCCTTAAGTTGTACTAATAATTATTAAATAGTTATTATGTAATTTTTGCATAAAATAAGTAAATTTATAGTTTATGTGTAAGTTTATACACGTGCAGGGAAAATTATTGTGTTACTAAGCAATTCCACTAATTTTTGCACTAGATAGATTCTCCCTGCTTTAATTTCTTTTTAGAGCTTGTTGCAACTATGTGCGGTCTTCCAGAGTCAATTGACCATGCCATCCACAGCGAACTGTACGCGGACTCTCTTGGGCCTAGAACGTCCACAACTGAAGCCTCGTGATCCAGAACTGATGATGGCATAGCTCCGTAGTTCTGCTTTGCCTTAAAGGCTCGAGTGCATTCTAAATGCCCTAGCAGCAGTTAACCGTCTAATGTTTTGATCTCGATCTTAGGCAGAGTCAAACTGCGCACATAGAGAGTATCGAGAATGTTGTGACGCGATCCCCTTTCTAAATCATGGTTGATGAAATATTACCGTAGCAGTTGCAGCAAGACCTGTTTGGTTATGTTGTGGCCAGTATACTAAAGGATCAGAGAGTTCTTAAGGTAGCATCCTGTTCTGTGGTTTTGTAGCAGTGTGTGTAGTTAGGGAAAGGGACCTGCAAGCAGTTTCGCAAGCATCCGGAACCGAGAAGGTGCTTCCTAACACTTGCTGGACATGTGAGTGCCAAAATTTGGCCCAGATTATAGTCCTACAAGCGCAGCAAGTTAAGTTTCGAAGAATTCACTATTGGCAAGCCAGGTGAAAGGTAATGTTCCAGCAAAGGCAAAGACGAGTTGGGCAAGACCTGGATTATGCCTAAAGCGGATAAGGCAGTGCACGTGCAGCTCGTAACACGTTTGCGTCATGCTTGTTCGGTTTGTAGAGGTCAACCCCACGAAAGCTTCCACGCGACCATAACCAAACACGTCTCCCGCTCATGGATCCTCACTGATCTACAACCTCAGGTGGTGCCTCCCTGCCTTCCTGCTACATTTCCTACTCTACATCAAGCTTATTTGAGTTAATCCTCCGCTGAGCAAACGGCAATCAACATCCGACTGCACTACGCAACATGTCCGAACCAGGTCTTTTGGCTAACATCCTGGGCCAATTGGCCTACCAGTTTGCTCTGATACAACCGTTCCTCCCTACCTACGTCCACTTGCTTCTCTCTGCCTTATTCCCTATCTATGCAGGAGCACACGCATCGCTGTCACGGCCGTCGTCCGCTGCGGCACCAGCAAGGAAGGGCAAGGCTAGCGTAGACGAAGATGAGTCTTCAGACGAAGAGGATGAGGAATCCCATAAGATGGAGGGATTGTCTCCAAGCGACGCCATTGTCATGCCGCTCCTTGCTGGGACGACGCTTGCTGGGCTATACTTCCTCATCAAATGGATGAAGGATCCTGCACTTTTGAATAAGATATTGAACGCCTACTTCGCCGTCTTTGGTGTATTCTCTGTGGCTAGGTTGATCACAGATACGCTGGATATTGGACATTCTATCATCTTCCCACGACGATACGCCCTCGATGGCGCCCTATACCATGTTCACGGCAAGGAGAAGAAGGCAACACCTGTTGCAGGCAACATCAAGGACAAACAGGCCATTCATACCCCACTTCCTGGCTTCCTCGCTCGGATTAAGTTATCAGAGGGTGCCCGGGAGATGCTGTGGGCCGATCGCGCAATGCCAGGCAACAAGTGGACGCTCCGAGCGTACCTCCACCGCGTCGTCGCCGCGAAAATGGCCATTGGTCCCCATGGTATCGCCGGCTTCCTTCTCTCCCTTTTCGCTGTCGCATATTTCAACCTGGTCGACAAACCATGGTATCTGACCAACCTGATGGGCTTCGGCTTCTCATATGGCGCTCTCCAACTCATGTCTCCGACGACCTTTGCAACGGGCAGCTTGATTCTCAGCGCTCTGTTCTTCTATGACATATATTTTGTCTTCTTCACGTATGTGAACTCCATCCTTGCCGTTCGCCTCAAGCTAACCAGTGCAGCCCCATGATGGTCACTGTCGCCAAATCCCTCGACGTCCCAATCAAGCTCATTTTCCCACGTCCTTCACCCGCGGATGCCCCGCCCTCCTCGAAGTCACATGCCATGCTCGGCCTCGGCGATGTCGTCCTCCCCGGAATCATGATCGGCCTCGCCCTCCGTTTCGACCTCTTCCTCTACTACCTGCGCAAGCAGAAACACATACCAGCGCCGGAACAAGATGATGGGGAAGACGCTGTTGCTCCGGCTGGACCAAAGATGGAGAAGGCGAAGTACTTCTCCCTCGCAGGACGCTGGACCGACCATTTCTGGACTCATTCCCTTTCTGGTCGCCCGCTCTTCCATGCGTCTGACGACAACAAGCCAGAACCGCCGTTCACATTCCCGAAGACATACTTCAAGGCAAGCTTGATAGGCTATATTATCGGCATGCTGACAACTTTAGGGGTGATGCACATTTGGGGCCATGCGCAGCCTGCTTTGCTATACCTAGTTCCAGGGGTCCTAGGAAGTCTCTGGTTAACCGCACTCGTCAGGAGAGAGCTGCGATTGATGTGGGATTTCAGTGAGGCTACTGAAGAGGAAGAGGAAGCAGACGAGAAGCAGGATGGTGAGAAGAAGAAGCCGAAGGAAGCTCCTGAACGCACCAGTTTCTTCTTCTCATCAGATAAGAGGGACAAGGAGCGCGAGGAGCGCATGGCTAAGGCAATCCGGCGACATGTCTCTCTCGATGATGGCTCCTACGATGGCGTCGGAGTAGATCCAGTCAAGGAGGTAGCTGGACACAGGTCAGAGAGAGAGGTGTTCTCTTTCTCCATCGAAGCGCCGTGGAGGTTGAAGCACCCAAGATCTATCAGGCGAGGGTCCAAGGATGGTGATGTATCCCAAAGCCAAGAGCAGGATCAGTCCACCCCGGGAAAGGAGAAACCGAGTTGGGCACCTATTGCAGCTGAAATTAGCCCTGTGGAGCCTGTGGAGCCAGCTGGTAAAAGGGTTAGGCTGAATTAGGACTAGGGATGTTAACTTATGCCCATGGCCTTGGAATACCCGTGTTTCTTCCAGACGCTTTCTCAGATACGATATCTGGATTGTACATTAAAAAACAGGCATAGCATGCAGACAGACAGGCAAGCGGGATATGACGTTTCTAGCATGGTATAGCGTGACTGCATAGCGACGGCGTAATCCAAAAACACAGACATTGACATTAGCATACACGTTGACGCTACATCCACCTCTTGAATATCCTCAGACTTCTGAACGCTCCATCATCGAAACTAGCTTTATCCCATCTCAAGTAACCCCTACTAACGCTCCTATTCCTCCCCCCCGTCCTTCCCCCCGTCCTTCCCTTTCTCCCCCCCAACCGCACACCCATCCCCACCCATCCCCCCAAACCACCCCACCTCCCAAACATGTCCATCTGGATCTTCAACACTCCTCCCATAACTGCCCCCTATCTGCGGCAAAACCGTAGGGTCCATTTTCCCGCCCGCCTTCCCAGCTGCTTCCACAATGCGATCTACATCCTCTTTCTTCTCGACATTGAAACAGAGCAAAACCTCCGTTCCGACCTTTCCCCCAACCAACGCTTTCCCTCCTGGCATAAATGATTGGAACCGGGAGTGCTCCATTAACATAACGGAGATGGCAGGGGAGAGGGTCATGCAGGTGGTGTCTGAGGAGGAGAAAGTGGGGTTAGGAGTAAAGCCAAGGGATAGGTAGAAGGGAGTAGAAGTAGAGAGGGAGAGGACAGGGAGGTTGACGAAGAGAGTTGGTGTGAAGGCCATATTGTTCGCTTGCTCGCTCTCCAGGGACTAGGGACAGAGAAGAAAAAGGGAGGAGGCCAAGGGATTAGAGGTCTGGCTCTTAGTGGCTTCGATCTTGGTTGGTTGGCGAGCTTCGAGCGCCCTGGTTTTGTCCTGTCCCGAACTCTCGCCGGACTGGAGTTTCGACAATTGAGTGCCCACAGTGGATTGCTCTGCGGCGATTGTGGGCTTTTGAATACCGGACTATATCGCCCATGACCACGGCTTTATACCCCCTCGTTGCTATCCTTTTCACCCCACCTTCGTACTGGATTCGCGCGGCCAAGACGACAAGAGAAGCAAAACCGCGTTCGGATTACTGATCGCGCTACCACGCTATCACGTGTAACGCGTTTCTGCCTGGAAAGCGAGCAATACGGGGCTTGGGTGCTGGAGGCGGATGACGTCTGGGTGGTGAGGAAAGGGTTGTATGGGGAGGGATTTGATGGGTTTGTCTGTCTAGGGTTGAGATATGTTGGGTTATGGAATGGATGAATTGACTATTTCGTTGCTATTTGCAGCCGGCTTATTCGCTGAATATATATATACAATAAGTAACACGCAATGACGGATTTGCCTTGCTCCGTTCCCCAATCCGATTCCAACTTGGTTTAGATGCATAACCGATCAATGAGATTCCGTATATCTCCGTCCAGCCCTCTTCAGGGAATATCCATTCAAAAATTACATCTGGATCGCTAAGACATTACACTCAGGATCTATAACGTATATGACATATACAAAAGAATTCAAAACCACCTTGTCCTCATGCTAACCCCCACAGAACTCTCCACTTCAAAAATTCCGCCTGTACGGCGCAGGCGTCAAAGGCGAAATCCCCGCCGTATGTCTCGTCCCTTCCTCACTCGGCGGCTGCCACCTTCCCCCATCTTCACTGGGATCCTGACTATGCGCGCGACTTACAGGTGCCGACGACTCTCCATCCATCTCATAGTATTGGGTCCTTCCTCTTGCCCACCCAGCGCCCACTCCGGCCCCCAGTGGCGTGATAGGCAATTCCTGGGGCTCCGAAGCTGGCGACAAGAAGGGCTTGTCGTGGTAAGGTTCTCGCGGCGAGGCTAGCTCGGTGAGCGGTGTGCCGCCGAGTTCTTGAGGATTGGAGGGAATGGCGGAGGATTTGTGTGCGGCGGCAGCGTGATCGGAACCGGCTTCTGAGATTTGTGTGTTTGCGAGCTCGTATTTCTTGCGGGAGCCTTTGCGGCGTCGGTATAGTATTATTGCGCCTGCGATCACGATGAGGAGAAGAACGGCGCCACCCGCTGCGATCCCGGCTATGGCGCCGGTACCTAGTGGGGATTTATTCGACGAGGAGGGGGATTTGGAGGTTGAAGATGGAGGGGCGATGGTGACGACTTTGGCAGCGGGTAATGGGTCGGGGAATACGGCTTGTGAGATGGAGAAGTTGGCGCGTTCGTAGTCGACTATTAGGTATGCTTCTTGGAGAAGTGTGCGCCCGAGAACGTATTGGGAATCATTTGCGGCGCGTCGGATGGGGAAGTAGTTTGTGGCGTTTTGGTAATAGGGGTATGAGGCTTGCAGGTCGAATGCGGCGTATGGTAGGATGATGTTCGTGTAGTTTGTGGAGGTGTCGGTTAGGGAGTTTACGAGTTTTATTGTGATGGATGGGTTGAGGGATTTGAGTTTGTCGTGCATAGTCGAGTTTATCACGTATAGGTCGGTTTGTGGGTCGTATGTTAAACCAAAGGCGATCTCGAAATTGTCGCATATAGCTTTGGGTAGCCATAAATGCGGGACGGTGGAGTCGATTAGAGAGAAGTGCGAACCGGATGAGAGCGAGTAGGTTCCTTTGAGTGTGTTCAAAGCCGTGACGGATTCCACCCCTACAGTCAGAAGCCGAGAGGGATTCGTGGAGAAGGAGAAAGAGAAAGGTTTTGCATTTGGCGTAAATCGAGTTGAATCATATCCACCTAATATAAGGCTTCCAAACACGGATTTTAACCTGTATTTTGCCCCAGCTGTGTATCCAAATGATATGCTAGGTATCTTTGTTCCATTCCGAAGTTGGACCAAGAATGAATCAATGGATTGACTCAAGCTAGAGAAACTCGAATCCGGGATGCCCAGCGGAATAAAGCCCATGGGATAGCTCCATTCGGCGATGCCAGCGACGACCTGATGATCTAGCGATATCGATGAGGAATCTGAAGCAGGACCCAACGTGACCTTGTCGTATCCAAATATCCCCTTTGCGGTGTAATTGAGACTGCTCTCTAGATCCACATCATATTGCCCAAGCGTCGACCAGCTCGACGACACGTTGACCTGAAAGCCAGGACTCTGTGCACTCCCGAATATCTCAGCCCCTCTCTTGTTTGGGCAGTCCGCTCCTTCTCCTTCTAGGCATCCTTCAGGTGCAATTACGTATGTGCTCCCGCTCTTCGTGGAGGCCAGAACTCGAAAATCTTGTCCCGGTGTCCCAACGCTGATTTTGAAGGTCGACCAGGCGCCATCGTTGCCGTCAAACTTCTGCGACGGAGGGACCACATACGGTGCGGGTATCGCTGAGGCTGTTGCACGAGGTGCGACGGGCATGATTAGGGGAACGGAGAGGAAAACGTCTATGAAACGGAAAATGGGGTATCAATGGGCGCTGAGTACCGCGCGGAAACAGAAAACAAGGAATTAACGATCAGGACATGGCGTGCCAGACGTAAGCGAATGAAGCAGAGAGGCCTTTGCCAAAGAAGAAGAAGACTGCATGCACTACCAGAGTCGGGCAAACAGGTCGCACCAACTTGTCAATGGGTTAGAATGAGCGCCCGTGGGATTTGAGGAGGGGAGTAATATGGATGTTACATGGCCTCTTAGTGAGGTTTGCATTGGTACCGTCCGGACCCAGAACAAACCCAGACATGGCGAGCCGGCCTGGGCAATGATTCGATGAAGGCGAAGGCTGGCTGGCTTGTGTGGCAGCATCGCCAGCTGAATACGAGGCCTTGGTGAGGGCTGAAAGCCACAGCTGGGGTTCAAGCAGTCTTGGACGATGCACCAGACCAGGTGGGCATGCCATTCAAATTAGGTCCTGTCCAATCGGCGGGCACGTTACTCATCTTGGCACTGACTTCGCCCCATTCGGTGCTGGCATTCTCCCCACCTCTCACCACACCCGCCGACCCAGAACCCCTCCCACTACGGCAGTCTGCACGTCAGGGCTGGCAGACGATATCTCAATCGTTGTTTGCCAGGGCGAGAGAACTTGAAACCGACCCTAGATCTATCTCATTCCTCTTGAAGGAGTCGGTCATCTGTTCCGCCGGATTATACTCCCCTGAAGCTTTCTATTTCCTTGCTCGAAAAAGGCAAAATCCAACGAGGTCGTGGTACCCAGTGTCCATGCATCCAAAGCCTCCATTCCAGGCGGTGTCAAGGAATCGGAAGACTAAACGTAAGACTGCATCCCAAGAATTGGATGTGCTATCTTTCCAAAGGCCATTGTCGGAAGCTACGAGTGAAACATGCATTCGGCTTCAGCGACGAAGAGGAGGCTGGAGGTCTGGTGCGGTTTCGTTTCTCAGCCGACCTGCACGGCCACATTTTTCGGTGGACATAGTCTTGGTTCCACGCCGCTATTGGTGGGTACCTTGTCAATGCGTGAAATGGCAAATGGCAGCGAGCTGGTTGCTGCAGCCTGCAAAATTGATGTGCACAGGGGTTGCTATTCATAGGGGCGCCTGCCCGCTGCATCCCACGAGCGTAGTGCCGTTGAAAACACTCGCTCATCTTGACCACGCCAGGATTTTCTCGCTCTTTTCTGCTTTCGCCCTCCTCTTCTTTCGATTGTTTTACGACGATTACAGTCATATTGTGAGCCGCCCAGTCTGTCACTCGTTCATGCCGCTGGGATAGGTAGTGCAATGCGGAGCCACGTCTTCCTAGGCTCCGCGCTTTTGGCGGCCTTGTCAAATGCCAGCCCGCATATTTACTATAAACGTACGTTATTGCCAGTTTACCTTTTGGACTTGAAGATACTTGTACTATTGCAAGTTGCGCTGAGAGCGTGCTGGGAGATCCTCACCAAATATGGAGGGCTAATAGCTTCCAGGCAATGAAACATCCATCCCGACAACTTCGATGAGCTCTTCGTTACAATCTTCAACTTCTTCGATATCGTCCTCGCAAAGCTCATCTCTGACCGGGTTGGGAAGCAGCTTTAGCAGCTCCGGCAGCTCCAGCATCTCATCCTCTTTGTCTTCCGGCATCCCATCCTCTTCGTCTTCCAGCAGCTCATCCTCTGTGTCTTCCAGCAGTTCATCTTCTGCGTCTTCCAGCAGCTCATCCTCTTCGCCTTCCAGCAGCTCACTTTCAACATCCTCGTCCCTGCCAATCTCTTCGAATTCAACCTCGTTATCTATAACGTCAATCCCAAGCACCACATCTTTCAGCAGTTCTTCTAGCTCTCTGGCTGCCTCGAATTCCTCGTCATTGGTCACGACAAACGCCACCACCCTATCACCTACTGGATGCACAGGCTGTGTTCTTGAGGCTTTGTACCCAACCACCTTGTCCTTTCCGAAAGAGGAAACATCATTGTGGACCTATACCACGGTCACGCAAACCGTTCTTACTATCTTCATCACTTTCAAGGATGACGGTGGTGTTACTAGCGAAGTGAAGACGCTGAATGAGACGAAAACTGTTATTGGTCCTGCCAATCAAACCATCGTACATACAACTCCTATTTTCACATGGATACCCGAGGACGGCATCACGTTGAGCTTGTACGTCATTTTATCCCAATAAACTATCCTTAACTGACCCAGATAACAGTGATGCTGGACGGACATATGTTGCGTTTACTAACATCTGGGGAGGGCTAGACTTTCTGCCCACTCCAACCGGAGCCCCTGTGACAGCGGGGACCCTTCCGATCAATGAACCGGCACTAACCTGCGATAATGAAGCTTCTTATCTATCCATCCAGCCTACCAATGCAGAGCAGTATAGCTCGTTCATCCAGACGTTTTCGACAAATCCGAATCTGCCTGAGTACACGGCCCCGCTTCCACCTGCTATAGTTGAATTTCTCAACAATGATCCATCCATACGGAGCGTCTTCCACTCGTCAAATCTCGCAACCTGCACCGTTCGCTCGACCTCATTTCCTCCACTCGGATCTAACAGTCCAGTCGAAAGCACATTTTCTCCCCTCCCAACTTTTGCAACCTCCACTGGCCCCAATTTTCAGACTCCTAGCCCACCACCCGGGACTTCTGCATTCTTTTCTTTGAGTGTTCAACCCCCAGAATCCCCCCCGCCGGGATTGACCAAGACAACGAGTACTTATCTCAGCACGATTCTTGTTCCAACCGAAAGTCATGTCACACGAGACGGATGCCTACGTTGCCAGACAGGGGCGGTTCCTGTTGCTCCCACACAAAACCCACCTGAACATACAGATCCGCCACATCCTCCAGAGTCACATGGAGACCCTGGAGTGCATCCGGAAACACAAAAGGATCCGAACATAAAGACCCCAGATATCCCAGGAATAATAGCCTCTATTCTCAATGACCCACACTTCACTCCAAGCCCACCTGAGAAACCAGGACAGTCCATTACAATTGGCGATAGTGTGATTCAAGTTCATCCTGCTCAGCCAACGCAGCCTGGTCAGCAGAATCAACAATCACCTCAAAATCCTGGCGTAGTGATCGGGTCCGAAACTCTGGCTCCAGGACAGAAAACTACCATTAATGGAGTGGTGATCTCTGTGCCCACAAATGGTGGGGGCTCTAGCCTAGTGGTAGGAGGGAGCACGATCGGAGTGAACCCTGTAGCACCAACTGGACCTCCGGTACTTACGGTTGGTGACAACACTGTTACAGCAAATTCTCAAGGACAATTCATTATTGGGTCCCAGACTCTCACCCCAGGTGGACCCGCAATCACCGTTGGAGGAAGCACGTTGAGCATTGGACCAAGTGGAACCATTGCTGTGGTGAATGGCGTAACGCAGACCCTTGGAAACGTCCCTCTCATAACAGGTGCTCCAGTGCTCACCGTGAACGGCCAGACCATTCCAGCAACTGTCGTTGGCGGGTCGACAATGTTTGTCCTCGGTGACGGTCAGACTTTGACTGCCGGCGGCACCCTTGTTGTTAGCGGAACAACGTTTAGCATGCCTGCTGATGGTTCTGGTTCTCGAGTTGTAGTCAACGGAGTAACGCGGACTCTTAATAACCCCCCTGGTCTTCCTGTCCTCACTCTCGGTGGCCAGTCTCTCACCGCGTCCGTAAACAGAGGAACGACGGAGTTCGTTCTAGGTCCTGGCCAAACCTTGACCCCTGGCGGCTCCCTTGTAGTCAGTGGAACAACATTTAGCATGCCTGCTGATGGTTCTGGCTCTACAGTTGTTATCAATGGCGTAACTCAAACTCTCAAAAATCCATCTGGTCTTCCTGTTCTGACTCTCGGCGGTCAGTCCCTCACCGCATCCGTGATTGGGGGAACGACGGAGTTTATCCTTGGACCCGGCCAAACTCTTAAGCCTGGAGGGGTACTTACCGTGTCTGGAACCACATTCTCGATGCCAGAATCAGCATCTGGATCTGTTGTCGTAGTCAACGGCGTGACATCCACTCTCGGACAAGGTCCTATTACCGCATATCCGGCGCTCACAATCGATGGAAAGACTTATTCGGCGACGATACGAGATGGAACTACAGAATATGTGCTCGGACCTGGAACGACACTTAAACCCGGGGAAGCTGTCACCATCTCCGGAACGACGTACTCTCTTGACGATAAGGGAACCGCACTTATCATTAATGGAAAAACAAGCACGATCCCGAAGACGCCCGCAAGCAATAGCGCAACTACAACGGGCTCGGGTTCAAGGAGTGAGAGCACCAGCGGTAGTTCGGGGTCGAGTTCAAGCTCCTCGTCGTCGACAACTAGCCAGCGTGAACCAGGCAATTTCATCGCAAGTGGCATTGGTATCACCAGCAAGAAGGGTGATGGGGTTGCGTTAAGAAGAGGTCTGGATAAATGGGCAGAGGGAATTATAATAAGCTTGGCAGGCTGGGTTTTGATGTTCTTGTAATGAATAGATGGGATTTATGGATTTCTGTTTTGGCGATTTTAGATCGGAATATGGCAGTACGATTTTGCATGAAGCGCGGCGTTTGGAGAAGGAATTTAAAACTAATGGGGACATGACAGCAACAGAACAAGCTGTCATAGATTTGGGATGGGCGGTTTTGCATATGACCGTGTACGCCTCATTGATCCAGAAGTGGGTACGAGGAGATGACGTGCGCGTAGCGTAGTCTCAAGTCGGGATAGCTAAAATTTAAGTAGTCAAACACAAGTTCGTTGAAATTGGAAGTGCTATGCCACCTTCCAGCCTTCTTGAGTGGATGGCCTATATCGCTCAACTCTAGCCACCACCCACAACCTGAAAGTGGAAAATGGTCGTGTCAACATCCAGGAGGTTAGCTTACTAGCCTAGCCCTCCTCCCTAATCTACCACTCACCAAATGTAAGGACCCGGTATCAAATCCACTATTTCTCTCTCCCCATCTGCTTCCACCAATCCTCGTCGAGATCAGCGGCAAGCTTTTTTCTCACCACACCTGCCCACCTTTGTTTCAACTCTAAACGACCAGTCGACCCAGGTATGAGCGTTCCCACATGGAACCTTCATAGGAACATGCTAGCTCCAAGGAGCATCAGTCGCTTCTTTCAAGGGTAAGCGCTAGAGGTTGTCAAGTCCATGAAATATGTATCCTGCATCCTGGACTTGGAGAAGATGGAGGATCTTTGCACAGCCAATGAAACACCACCTTGCGATTACTCTTCCCTCTTTCCTCGACACCCAAAAGGACCGTCTGTCCTCCAACCACAGACTTACAGATGCGACTTCTAATTTCTGCGGGAATTCAGAGTGAATTCAGAGTAGTAGTAACCCCCACCGCATTTACAACCTACTTGAGGATCGAGAGTCAGCGACGATCTATCCCACATGCCGAATCGGAATCGCCGCCAGCATCGTCGAATAAGGTGAGGCTGAAGGGAAAGGGCTAGGATAAGCTTTTGTTAAGCTTTCACATCCTTTGATGACTCTCTGCTCCGCGTTCGGCTTACGAAGGTTGAGTGGCCGAGTGGGTTGTTAGCGGTCTTTCGATGCTTTGAGGGCTTGCTCTCGGGAGTTGCCTGGCGTTTGGGAGGCATGGTGGATGGCAAAATCGTTCGATAGCAATTGGTCTATGCTTTGAGGGGAAGGCTTGGGTCGCTTCGAAGGCCCTTCATTTCCTATTGATGTTGATGCCCGCGAGGCTGCGCCTCCGATTCAAACGGGGCTGAGTTTTTTTGGGCCCTGCTCCCCATCATCGGCTTCGCATTGCAGGCCTGCTTCGTATCCTGCAATCTATCCGCTACAGGAGACCACTTCACAACCTGTCCTCGCTCTATTCGAACGATGAGTGATCAGCCAAGATCGCACCGCCTCCAATCTTAGACGGCAAGCCCACTTCTCAGTCAGCATTCAGCTGCTTCATCGACCGCCCACTATTGGATACAGCAACAACAACACAGTCTATCTCAACGCAAGCATTGCCACTTTCGCAGGAACAGGATAACGCTGACTGCTAGATTGAACCCTACTCGCCCTATTTATCACGCCTCTATCGTGTGCTGTACAGGTACGTCTAGTCTTCGACCCGTTGACCTCCGATCGGGTACGGATTCCAAATTTTGCTTATTTGACACCTCTATTCAAACCTGCACAGCGGAAGAGCCAACCAAACACGGAACTCGATAGCAATATTTGTCTGCGTTCATCTTATCATGAAGAGTTTCACCTTCCGGCAATATCGCCGGTCCCCAAAAGAAGGTATTTATACTCTTTCCCTTCCATGCTGCCGCTAGACCCGTGGTGTGTTTAGTCCATTACTTGAAATGGAAGAAACCTGATTCGGAATCTGGGGACCCAAACTAAACGTGATGCAATTCAAATATCTTGATGTATTCCAAACGGATTCCAATCGATTTACCTTCCAAACCAAGCAGACTTTCCCTCTTCCACCGTTTTACTTGACTTGACGACATGGTAGATCCGAAGGAGTCGGCTGGTGAATCCAAAGATAAGGACAACGCCACGTACCTCAAACGGAGGGAACAAGTGCGACGGGCGCAACGGTACGCAAGATTTCTGGCCTTGCAGAGAGCCTTGCATATTGACGGAACCTGTTAGGACTCACCGGGAACGGAAAGAAGCATATATAAAGTCTCTCGAGAATGAGGTGCTGCAACTCCGCACGAACGAGGCCAAGATTCTCCAGGAAACCCGGGGCTTATATACCGAGGTCGGGAGGCTCAAAAGGATCCTCGAACACCATGGAATCCCATATGCGGCGTCGCAAGACTACAGTCTACCCTCACAGCTTTCAGACAGTCCAAATGCTCCAAGTTTATCGTCTGTGAGCATCCTTTCGAACCCGCACCAACAGCAACAGCTGCACATCGGCGGGCCTGAACAGCGTGGCAGTAGCCCCTTCTATCTTACTGAGAGCGATGGAAGTCCACCAACTGGCTCTTCAAAGAGTCCTCGTAGGAAGAGATCTTTTTTCAGGAGTCGAGGGCGGTCTGACACTGAATCTAATGAGGACAGTAGTAGTAAGTCGTTATTCCCAACGAAATAAAATAATAGTTTACTGACTCTCGCAGCATCTGGCCAAGGACTTTCAACTACTAACCAGCTAACTATTTCTGCCTCCAACCTAAGTTTGCGTGACATGGATCAAACGAATGTCGGCATGGAGTTCGTTTTAACGTACGCCTCACCCCATCCTCCACTCACCCCAACGAATCTAACAACTGCCCTAGTCTCGAAGCCCCCTGCCTCCACCACACGCAAGGCGATCCCCACGAACCGCATCTCCCCTCAGGCCACGCCCTGACCGCCTCAGCCCCTCTCCTCTTCCAAAACCCCACGCAGCCCGTAATAACCACCTCCACAAAATCCCCCTCCTGGGAAGCCCCCCACCTTGGTCTCGAGAAACTTCTCAACCTTTCCTCTAACTTCGAGCTCTCCGATGAGTTGACGCCCGTGCAAGCCTGGCATCAGATCCGCTCGCACCCAGATTTCGAAAGCATAGAAGTGCCGAGCTTGCGCCGATTGACGGAAGATATGTTGAAGCATGTGAAATGTTATGGGTATGATGACGATTCTAATCCTTTAATTTTATAAGTGAGTTTGGTTAATTTTGGTAGGTTTGGTGCGGTTATCGATACCGAGACATTTGAGGGCTTGGTGGGGAATTTGTTTGGAGGGCAGGGGTTCAACTTTGGGTTTATGGGTGCAGTGGTTTGAGATGGATAGAGGACAAAGGATAGGGTTGTTGGCGTTGATAGAGGTAGAGGAGGAGCTGGAGGAGGAGTTGGAGTTGGGTGGTGTGGGGAAATTGGAAGGGATGAATATCAACATTGGCAGTAGCTCAAAATACAAGTGTATGGTTTGGTGGAATTCTTGTCTTCTATCTCACATCTTGCATCAGCATTTTCAAATGTTGGAACGGAACGACGAAGTCCAACATCCACCATCACCAACATCCATATCTACCCCTCAACGAATAACCCCATCCTTCATCCCCCTCTCCCTAGCCTCCTTTTCCAACTGCTCCTCCGTCTTCTTGTTTCCCCTTTCAATCAATTTATCCAAGAAGCCACCCTTCTTCGGTGTACCCATCTTCTCCGCTTCCTCAAATTCCTTGAGATACCTGTCGCGTTCGTCAGGGCTCATTGCTGCGACTTCTGAGTCGACGCTTGTACGGGGATCTAAAGCTAGTTTGTCAAACGTATTCTGCCTAAAGGGTGTTTGGTGGTAGATAGAGGAGTGTTCATTACGTCATACGCACCTGCTTCGTTGCGGGATGATGATGGTTTGGCTGTTGATTTGCGGCGGATATGGAGGACCTTTTTGATGGATTCCATGATGATTTTGAGGTGGTGGTCTTGCTCATAAGGGTTGACTTAGGGATGTTGTGGGCAGACTTTTCGCAAAATGGTTTCAAAGGTGAGGTTGTCGGTTTCTTAGGTCCGCGGATACGTCATTGTCGCTTCTTGGTGCTTCCACATTTGTGAATGGAGTTGGATGATAGCTTTCGCTATACTTTGAATATACCAATATTGCAATTAGATTTCAATAAGACACATTATTAAATGAGTGCTATATCCTCTTCAACCCGGACTTCAATCGATGGCAGCGGCCTTACAGTCAACATCCATTCACGTGATACTTCTCGAACAGGGAAATAGTATTTTCCTGAATAGTAAATTAAGAGCCTTTCACGAAGCCCAATCAGCCCACTTCTGAGATGGATTTATTCTCACTATGCATATCAGTCCTAAAGCGAGCGGCCCAGCCTCAGATTGGGTGCTTAGTTGATTCCAAATCACGAAATTCCTAATGCGGGTTAAGCCAAGTCAGCACATGTCAGCCAGCATTGCCCCTAAACCACTTCGATGCAGGCTAACTTGCCCCAAACCCACTTTGCCGTACTTTACCACACTTTCTAATCACACTTTTGGAAATTCGGATTCCTCAGAACCCTCTGATTTCGAGAGAAAAAGTTGGTAACGGGTTTTTTAGTGCCACAACGGATCGTTCGTATTCATTTTGAGAGCAGAAGAGAAAGGATAGGAGGAAGCCTGATGATGGATATATGGGATATAAAAGTGATAGAATTGGCTGCTAGAGGACTGGTGTCGGGTTCTGAAGTTCAGCCGCCTGCTGTCTTTTTTGTCTCGGTCTAGCCTCATACTCGGACATTTGTTTTACGGTGAGACTTGATTCCCGATCTAAACCCATTTGTCACCGTCATGCTTTTCTCGGATAAGTTCTTCTTGTCCTCAGCATTTCTATTAACTGTTGGGGATGCGCGTCCAACCGACGAGTGCTCCAAGAGTGCCATATACGTGCAAACGAATGCGAATGACCATAATAGCATCGTTGCTATTCCAATTCAATCCAATGGGACGCTTGGAGCCGGTGTTCTTCATTCCACAGGTGGGAAAGGGGGGAATCATCTTGATTCCATGACTCTACAGCCTGTCGCTCCTGATGGGCTTCTCTCGCAATCTGCGGTTGCTGTCGCTGGCAATGTAAGTTATGACCCTCGACGTTCTTAATTGTTTTAGACGTACGGTAACATGGTTCAAGTTCCTATTCGCTACCAATGCGATGACGAATTCTGCTAGCATGTACCGCATCAATCCTGAAAATGCCACAGACCTTTCTCTTTACGGGGAGTATCCCGTGAAAGGCACCTTCCCCAACACGGTCGCAGCTTCTCTAAAACACAATATTGCTTGTGTCGCTACCACGGGTCAGACAAACGGTATCTCCTGCGCAAACTTTGACGAACGCCATGGCCTGGGGACATTCGACGCCCTCCGACCACTCGGCTTGAACCAATCCACGCCGCCAGTCGGCCCCCCAAACACTGTCTCCCAAGTCGCTTTCACAGAAAACGAAGACTTTCTCGTTGTAACAGTCAAGGCCGACCCTCTAACCAACAAGCCAGGCTTCGTCGCCGTATACCGAGTCGAAGGGAAAAGGGTCTCTCACGACGCGGTCCGTTCTTCGCCAGCTGGAACCGCCATCCTCTTCGGCTTCGACCAAATCCCACATACCAACAAATTCATTGTCACAGACCCTTCCATCGGCGCGGCAATTCTCAATCTCAACACCAAAACAAGCGATGTATCAACCATCAAGGCAATTAATATCACAGGCCAAGCCGCTACATGCTGGACCACCATTTCACCTGCTACTGGGACTGCGTTTGTGACTGACGGCGCCGTAGATCGACTTGTGGAGATTGGTCTTAATGATGGAGGTATTGTGAATATTTATGATCTTATTGCGAATGGCAATTCGGGGTTGTTCGATCTCCGAGCAGTTGGGGAGTTTTTATATGTGCTAGCTCCGGGAAAAGGGACGACGATGCCGAGTGTAACGGTTGTGAAAGCGAAGGCCGGGAAGGTGGTGCAACATTTGAGTTTGGCGGGTCTTGGGGTTACGAATAATGTACAAGGGATGGCTTTCTATAGGTAGAAGAAGGATTAAGTGGGATTCAACAGCATGACAAAAGAAGTGGTGTAGCCATGAGTGTTAGGGTTCGAGAAATTAGACCAGAAAGGGTGATGAAGGCTGGCTATCGGTTACATGGATCTTGAGTTGTTTAGGTTGCTTCGCTGCAGCCTCGTCCCGCCTATTCTCCACTCCTCCGAACTTCCGTGTGCTCGAATTTGGTTATGATGACAATGTCGTGAATATCTAGGACCCGGTCTCTAAAAGCCGAGTCACAAATCACGCGCAAGATCCACTAGGCGCACTAGCTGAAGAAAGTAAGCTTGATACAGTGAGTGAGGTTTAAATTAAATGAGATGCTCAGGCTTATCGTGCTTATTAATTACATAGAATAATAGGAAGGTCTTCTTCGTGGGGCACAGCTTGGGTGGGCTCGCTATCCAGCAAGCATTATGCACATCTCGAAACGCTGTTGAAGAATATATTCAACGAATCTACAAACGTACCTATCCCATCGCATTCCTCGGCATCCCACATCTGAGAGCATATGTTGCTAGGTGGGCAGGGCGGGGGTATACTCGAGGTTCTGAAACCCGGATTAGAATGCTGGCGCAACTGCAGGAGACCTTTCACAAATTGTTCCAAATACGAGAGCAAGAAGGCGACCCAATTCAAATTACATGTTTCTACGAGCACCTTCCAGTAAGAGCTACTAGTGCGGTAAGACACAGTACCCTTGTCTTGTTGACGCAATTTCCTTCATCTTTGCAGCTTGTAGTAAGCATGCAGTCAGCAATTCTTCCCGCATACCCTAGTTATGGAATTCATGTAGACCACATGGTTAGGAAACACGGCAAACAGCGCGATAAACGACTAATTTCTGTTTAGGATATGACGAAGTTTGAATCCATCCTCGCTATGGCAATGGGCATAACACTCGATGAGAATCTGATTAGAGGTAGAATGAAGAGTCCGAATGGATAGAACCCGTTCTTGACGCAGCCAACCACGGGCCGATAGGGGTTCCTTGTATACAAGGGGGCAACCACTCTCATACGCAGCTTTTTCCTGTTTCGGAATCGCGAAGGCATGTACGGTTCCAGCGCTCCTGTTCCTTGTGTTCTCGAAGTATTCCTATATTAGAGGAGATCGAGGGAAGAATTAGCCTGGGTTGTCTTCTAGTACCTGTGCTGCTAACACAAGATAGGCGTGTGAGTAGGCTGAGGCCATCTCCGAAGACTCTCATTCCCACCCTAGGCTATCATCCAAGCAGATGCACGGTTAATTTACGTAGAAGACTAGGGCAAGCAAGGGCTCCTCAGCAGTTCCTCAGCTTGCGCATAATACAATACTACTTGTTTATATTGAGGTAGCGAGGTTAGACTAGCTCCTAATTTAAGGCTCTAGAGTACTCATCGAGTACCCATCGATATCAATACGTTGTGTAGTGGGTGAAAGCGATCGCACTAATAAGCAGCCCTCCAAACCACCCAGGAAGGAAAGTTTACAAGGGCTTTCGCATTCCTCAGAGGTAATGGTTTTATCGCGCACATGATTAGAATCAAGGAGAAATCAAAGAAGGGTTGGGAGGTTTATAATCGAGATTTGAAAGGATGATGTGAGGGAGAAAATAGGAATTAATTTTATATGTGTTAGAGCCATAAACAAAGATCTGGAAAATATCCAGCCATAGGGATCACTTGGGATGGCATCAATTTTAATATTTAGCAGATAGTTAACTTGAACGCTCGCCTGTAAGATTTGCGTTAGCGTCTCCTTTCTGTTGCCCTAGCTTCCTGGTCAAGTCATATTCAGGTATAGCAATAGGTTAGCACAGTTCTGAAATATTTAGGGCGAGCAGACAACGCAGTGCTCTGGTCCCTTCCTCCTACTCGTCCCGCTTGATACAAGAAGTTAAATTCTTAGATGATATTGATTCCCCGAAGCAAATTTTCATAGCCATTCCCCGTTAATGCACAAGCTATATCCAGTGCTTGTTCCAGATTCTGAGCTCTTCGCTACTTCCATGCCACTGTTACTACGTTAGCCTTCACAGAACAACCGGCAGACGGCGCAAGGAATGACATAGTGATGATCCACATCACTTACCTCGAAGTCCAACTTGACAACCTCCTCAAAGCCCTCGGTATTCTGTGGCTCACTGAACCGAGAGATGATATCTTTGAAGCGCGTCCTTGGGAAGACCTTCCGTTGTTCTTCCTTCGTCTATCAAATAATAAGTTATTAGGAGATTAATATATCCAAATAAAGAAATATCCGATATGTCAGAACGCTTGGGCAAATTGACCTGCTTTCAAGGAAATAGGAGACGCACCTGATCACCCCCAAGAGCTCGTACAGAATCGTTGTGCAAGCATAGATCTGCCGGTGTTGTGAAATGGATTGCATAGACTCTAATTTTGAATCTACTAGCCAATGATATCCACAACTTACGGGCAGCAGCAGTGGTATTGGTGTCATCTTTGTGGACAATTCATCAGTAACAAAGAAGCAGATCCATTCGGATGCATACCTATGACAACCTATTGTGCTCAAGTCTGTCAGTTAAAATAAAATTTGCGACTTTAGGGAATATATTGAGCATACCGACTTTCCTTCGGCGAGAACTTGATACGCTAGCTGTACCCTTTCTTCGAGCCCCAATTGATGAGAACCAATACGCTCATAGCCGAGTGGTTGCAAGGTCTTCCGGTAGTAGGTTGTTTTTCCAGCACCTGGAGCACCCACGAAAACAAGAAGCGATTGGTGTTTAGGTCCATGATTTATGCTGTTATCTGCAAGAGAATGAGGATATGATCAAAAGCTGTGAGGTTAGAGTATACTTACGCTTGGTTGCAAGTGCAGTGTGCGTTGGAAGGTACCACGCAGGATTAAACTTGTCGGACATTGGCTCCAGAGGCGCACCTAGAAAAAACTTCTCCGGGGTGAAGAACGGGATTCCAATATTGAGACAAAAGTGTCTATCCGCGTCCGAGTGGTCACATTCCCGCCCTGCAGCATCACCTACCAGGAACGAGAGATCAAGTTCCACACTATGGAATTCCTCCTTCATCTTTTCCCACATACCAGTCCTCGGTTTTCGGTAATTGTCATTTGCACAAGCTGCGTAGAGTATGAGAGGGATATCCAAAACATTCAGCAAGACATCAACCTTGCGTTTCCACATTTGAGCCTCAGGAGCTTCCTGCCGGTTCTCATCCGTCAACCTCCCTTGATTGGTGAAAATTATGATTTGATAATCGTTGTCGTACAATTCAGCCAGTTTCATCGGAACGCTTTTATGCCACCATTTCCAGTCTTGTTCGTCACTTGCGTAGAGCTCCCCTGATCTTGTACTGATAAGCGTTGAGTCCTGCATCGAATGAGTTCACATCCCAACAATTACACATCCCAACCTGTTTAACTATACCAGATCGAATGCCGCAATTTTTGTCCGTGGCTCAAAAAAGCAGGCCTTATCCTCATGTTTTGAGTCGCGGGAGAACCTTCGGACTAGGAGAGTGCTTCCAACAAGACTCCACCCAGTCATGCCTGGATCTTCGCGAGTTGTCATGTTTTGGCACCAAAAATGTTATTACAGATGGTGGCTTCTGCTTATCTCAGCTAGCTCAGCCGGCTGATGAGAGAACCGACAACGCACATACCACCATGCATACTGCTACTCCTAACAGAGTATAACCTAGGGTTAGTAGTTTTAAACCCCTGCAACTAACGTTTTCTCTTATTAGCTGTCTAAAGGACTTTAGTAATTTTTTATATACATAACTAATTTTAACTACTTAAGGATAAAGACATAATTTTAGATAGTATAATAAGTATATTATACACAGACTTTAAAAGTTAATATAACATGTAAAACTCTAGTAAGAACATTATAAGCATATTTTAAATAAGATTTAATAATGTCTAGAGTAATTTAAATCTATCTACGCATGTAACGCAACTTTTTTTATAACTAATTTTATGTGTTACTTTAAACCTCCCCCCTCTCTTATTATCTACGCCTATGTATTGCAAGGCACTTATATTTTAGGCGCTATTTATCTTTGCTATTATAAACTACCTCTAGCTTCTAGATCTGCTAATTTTATCCTGTGCGTATAGTTTTATTATAGTAGGCAAAATAGTACTAACGCTTGCGCAGTAAGCAGTTTAGACACTAAATATTATAAGTATCTTTTTACATATTATCTATGTGTTTGTTTACGCACCTTTTAATGTATACTACTAATTATTTGCTATAGTAGCTACTATGCAGACTAGAGGGCTAAGTTAGCGCGCAGGGAATTAGAGTTTAAGTAGAAGGCTAGTATAAGTATAGCTTACGCTAAGTCTTCTAGCTGTCTGCTTAGAAGAGACTACTTATTTAGTGCTAAATAAAGACTATGCAGTGCTAAATTAAGTATATAGATTAGCTAGTATAATGCTTTCTTATATTAAAGCCTGTTATACTTTAAGTGCTAATGCCTTATAAAATTTAGTATATAAGTGTTTTATAAAGTGTAATGTTTAGTATTAAACGCTATTACTTACTTAGGCTATATAGAAGTTGTTAGGCAGTAGGGAGCTACATAAGCAGCAGGTGCGCGCTATCTATTAGCTTGTGTATAGCCTTAGGGATATAATCCTTGTAGCCTGCACTAGCTTTAGAAAGAGCATTATTTTACATATGTATTCTATATTTACAGGCAATATTACGCTCTAGATTATACTACTGTTAAAGCTAAAAAATAAGTAGTTTAAAGTAATTTACTAGTATCTTAGAGCGTGTTTATGTTTAGTTACTAAATAAATAAAAGATGCTAACTTAAAAATATTCTAAAAGATCTAGCAGCTTTTATACACTTATATTTTGCTAGGTCTAAAGTAGGCTGCATTGCTAGCGTTCTAACAGCTATTTACTAACACTATATTTTATACTTAGGTTAAGTTAGTAGCATTAAACAAGTGCTATGTTATATAATAGTAGAAAGATTTTTAAAAAGAGTATTTATAGTTTTATAAGCTCTAGCAGTGTTTATCTTCTAACATAATGTTCTTTACTTATACTGCTATGTTTAACAAGCAGATAGAAGAGGCAGTACGCTGTTTTAGTAGCTTTAGGCTAGAGAGTCTAGAGATAGGTAATAATCTAATAGGCAGCCTAAAGGTAATTAAGACATATATAGATTACTCTAAGATTACATACACTATTATTTTAATTAATAATTATAGTAAAAGCACATATGCTTAGCTTTTATGTATTATTAATTATAAGTTTAGTACTACTAGTTTTTCTAGCAACTTAAAGCTTATTCTAAAGACATGTGTGTTTATTAATAGTTACACTTATATTACTAACTTTATAGGGCTTCTTTAATCTTGTCTTGTGTTAGATAGACACTACTCTATAGCAGATACTAAGAAGGTAGTCTAGGCGTATACTAGTTAGGTTGTAGACGCAGACTAGCAGAAGATATATTAAAATTTTAAAGGCGCTAATGCCTTTATCTAGATTATTGTCTATACAACTGTGCTTAAGATAGGTATAAATATCTTTAGAATTAAGTAAGTATACTAATAAAACATTTTAATTACCTAGGATATAAGTAATCTAATGCAGCAGTTTAGTTATAGCGCGCGTAGTTATAGTAAGACTATAGTTACTATATTATTTATTCTTTTTTATATGTTTAACTGTCTTAGCACTAATCTAGATGCAAGTAATAGACAGGCTAGCAGCTAGATAAAGTAAAAGATAAAAAAAAGGTAACTTATAAAAGTAAAAGATTATTATAAAATAAAGCTTTTTACATTAAGGCAGACAATAACTATAACGTTGCTAGATTAGGCATCTGCTAGTAGTAGTTAGACACCTGTTACTCCTACTATAACACCTCCGCCTAGGTCTACGCCCCTACACAATAAACCTAAATTAGAGGCTGCAGAAGAGAGGGTTAAAAGCACTTTAGCTAATTTATAGAATTATATAGTTACATTTTAGTATAATAGACACAAAAGTAGACCCTTTAATTAAATAAATAAATAGCTAAACTAACAGGCTAGCATTAAGCTTAAGTAGTAAGACCTAATTAACTTTAAGTGTTATTATAAGTACTTACTTTAGTATTTTTAAAATAACTTATTTATATAATTAACATAGCAACCTTTTCTAGAAAAAGTTGCCTATTGCATAAGTTATAATCTAGCATTTATGCTATATTAAAGCGCTTTGCCTCTGCCTGCTAAAAAAACTATGCTAACGCTAAAAAGTAAAGCTAGCCTTATGTTACAGCATATTTAGAAGATATGTTAGGCATCTGCTTTTTAGTACTTTCTAAAGGTCTATAGTGTGTCTAAAAATAATGTTTTAGTTTTACCTTTATTTTTAGTATTTTTTTTATACTTAAACTAATAAAAGCTAGTAAGGCTTATTGCTAAATAGAAAAATATTAAAAGTAATAAAGTTATAGTGCTTATTAAGTCTAGTAAGTATAGCACTAGTAGTGTACAGGATTATCTGCTATTAGACTAGAAGTTTATAGAGTTGCATCTAGCATTTATTAAAAGCAAGTTTAAGTATATTATACTTACAGTATAAAGTAAGTTTTGCAAAAACAACACACTTCTTAAGACAGGCAACATCTCTAAGTTGCTAGGTATACACAATACTACTAAAGCCTTATTAGGTAGTTGTATGTAAGATAATAGTCTAGCTGTGTAGGCTACATAACACAGATATTACTAGTAATAAAACTAGTTAGAGTAATATAGTCTACCCCTTAAACTAGTTATAATTAATGTGTTATTTAAGTCTATAGTGTTAACTATAGTACTAAAGTTACTATTTAATAATAACTTTTCTCTATAGAATAATCTCTTGCCTAGTAATATTTTTAGTTATTAAGGCAGTTCCCTTATAGTTATAGTATACTCCTTTAGTTTAAATAGTTTGTTTACAGCAGCCTTTGCTATGTTTAGCGTACTATACTTACTAGGTGTAGAGTTGTATATATTGCTAAGGGACAGGCAACGCGCAGCTGTAATTATAGGAAGCCCTATGCTAGCCTAGGTCCTACACACGCTAACTAGTAGTAGTTACTACCTATTACTGCCTAAAATAGTCTTATTACCTTCTATTATATTAGATAAAATTACTATTAGCCTGTGCACTTTTAAGCTAGGTTGCAGAGGTAAACAGGCTGTGCGCTAGTCCTCTATGCTACATACACTAAGATAGTTAAGAACTCTTTGTACTTTAATTACTACAGTTTATTAGAGCTTATTACATAATATAAATGTGTTACGCACTAATTTAGTAGCTAGTGTAGTGTCTCTAAGCAAATTAACACGTAAGTGTTAAAGGCGCCTGTTAGACAATAAAGCAGCTAATATAAGTAGTGTGCGCATTTATTATAATGCAGATAAGCTATAGTTAGATAGTTAAAAGTGTTATTAAAACATATTATTAACTCTAACTACATAGAGCTTAGAGATATATTAATAAAGGCGTAAGCAGTCTTTTTTAGAATACTAAACTAACTATACTTATTCTTACTATAGTTTAGGTGTAGAGTGTTAGTAATAGCTTTACTTATTTAAACTAGTTTCCTAGAGCGCTGTACACTAGAGCAGACAGAGCAGCGCTTATAGGCAATTATTGTTGTTGTTCTTGTAGCTGCTCTAGCGCATCCTCTTGTTTTATATAAAGGGGTTCTCTAAAGGGGTTGCCTATAGTGTAGGGTGCGTGCGTTTAGGGTGTTAAGTTTTGTGCATAGTGCAGCTAAAAAAAGAGATGTAATAAATAAGCTTTATTCTTAACTTTAAGAAAAACACTTTGTTAACTAAACATCTTTTTATAGATAAAAAGCGCGTTATAGAAAACCTATAAGATAAAAAAAGGCTACTAGGCCTACATCTTTATATTATTATGCTAGGCAAGTGCGTTGTAGGGTAGGTTAAGCCTAAAAATAAACTTAGTAGCAGATCTAAAGCTAGCTATAGTTCTAAGTAGAGATAGTAGGTATAAAAAAAAGGTTTAGTAGAAAGTCTTAGTAAAATAGACATTAAATTTAAAAGTAGCTAAAAGAATTTAATAAAGAAACTTAGTGTAGTTACAGGTATATATTACATGTCTATGTATCTTTAGCGCATTATGTAGAAGCCTAGGTAGGGCAACCTATAGGCAATTATTATTGTTGTCTTTAAAGGAGAGTATATAAGTAGCTGTAGTAGGTGTTGTTAATAATAAGGTTAAAATAAAGTATGCTAAGCATAAATATAATTCCTTAATTAAGCAGTTCTTCTAAAAATATGTGCTATATCTACACACTAGACCTATTAGCGCTTAGCTGCTTATATAAACGCACTATAAACACTTTTCTATATAATAAACACACCTATATTAAATTATTCTTATGTTAAATCTACCCTATTTAGCTAACTAAGCAAAAGAATTAAATAATATAAACTATATATGCTTTTTAGCTAGACAGCAACAGCTATCTAAACTAATAGGCACCCTCTAGGCTATTTTATGTAAGCGTAGGACTTTTTAGACTCTAAAGAGCTAGTTAACTAA